ACAGCGTGTGTAAATATAAAAAATGAAATTTGAAGTCAACACTTAGAGCCGACAGGCTGTTTCATGTGTCAGTGGTGCATTGTGGGTAGTCTATTTTGGCGGTTATTTTGGCGGAAGTCGTTTGTTTATTTATTTATTTATTTGGGTTAATTTATTTTTTTATTTTTATAATTATAATAAATTCCATCTGTATTCCATTTGTAAGGAGGCAGTTCTACTCACAGAGCTTATTCCCAAGAATCGCTACTTTGAGTACTAGAAACCTACAGGATGCTGCCCCCAAAACTAAATTCTTACCGCTTCAGATCTAAGGTTAATTTTTATCCATCATACATATCTTCACAATCTTTAACAACTACTTCGTCTTACGTTCATATCACACGCCTCATACAGTAATCCTCTACCTTGGGTGGCACGTAAGCCTTAATTTACCCAAAAATATGCCAAAAAACGATCTATTTTTATATATTAGGATTCAAGTTTGAACTATGCTTTATGTAAACTTAATAGAAACAAAGTTTTATCATCAAAATCTGTAATATTATTAAGAGGAAAGACCGAATAATTTCAGTATCTGTCTATATTTCTGAGATGAGGCATTATGTACACTATTTACATTATTCGGACTATTGTCCTCATCTTTGTCGCCATATTTATTACAACGTTTCGGCCGTTGTACGCTCCGGCCTTCTTCAGATTGATGGAATGTCGAACTGAATCCTTTATTTTGCTCACTGAGATAGACTGTTCTAGTTCCACGTGCCATGTCTAATGGATGTCAGTTATCAGTTACCTCCTGCTTAATTCCCTCTCCAAGTTCTCCACTGCCTTAACAGGACAAAGAGTTGTGAGTTCAAAACCTGGTTAAGGCGGTGGAGAACCACCTGAGCGTACAACGGCCGAAACGTTGTAATAAATATGGCGACGAAGATGAGGACAATAGTCTGAGTAATGTAAATAGTGTACATAATACCTCATCTCAGAAATATAGACAGATACTGAAAGGCCGAAACGTTGTAATAAATATGGTGACAAAGATGAAGAAAATAGTCCGATTAATGTAAATAGTGTACATAATACCTCATCTCAGAAATATAGACAGATACTGAAAGGCTGAAACGTTGTAATAAATATGCCGACGAAGATGAGGACAATAGTCTGAGTAATGTAAATAGTGTACATAATATCTCATCTCAGAAATATAGACAGATACTGAAAGGCCGAAACGTTGTAATAAATATGGCGACGAAAATGAGGACAATTGTCCGAATAATGTAAATAATGTATCTAATAATTTTTTGATTATACAATTATTTTTTTTTTTTATCTTTTTTAGAACGTCCGAAATTTTTATTAAAAAATTGTTTTTTCGTGGTTCAACACGGTGGGGGTTTCAAGTTAGTATAGAATAATTTAGTGTCTTCTCTGAGATGAAAAACACCCTGATTTGGAAATTCTTACAAAAATCAAATAATTATTAGATTTTAATGTATGTTTCAGGACTTCTTTTTTAATCGGAACCACCCCAAGAAAAGCAGTAATGTCATTAAAACACAAGGAGTTACAGGGTTTGGAAGAATTAGGAACAGAAATATTAATGACAAGCAGAAACAGAAGAGAATAATCACGTGGACAATAGATAGCGATTGACATTGTATTTAAATTTTTTGCAAATTAAATTTGGCAGGGAAAGATGGAGATGAAAGGGTGTTACAAAAACGAGAAGTGCACGAGAAGAAACTGTTAGCATAGAACTTACGGCTACGTCTAAATAGTTTAACTTTAAATTGATGAGATCTCGACACCCGGCGACGCTTAAATTCAAAAACTCTAAGCACTATAGCGAAGAGCTCATCCAAATAATTACCATGAAAGTATTTATAGAAAAGATATAGGGAGACAACTTTACAGTAGAGGGAAAATGATTAGAGCTGAGCTGCCAGATCAGGACTAATAATATTGCATATTCTTCTTTGGATCTTATCAAGGAGCTCAAGATAAGTAGCGGTGGCACCGGACCATATGTAGCAGTAATTTTCTAAGCATGACTGTACAGCCACTAAAACACGAGGTGTTACAGGGTGTGGAAGAATTAGGAACAGAAACATTAATAATGAGCGGGAAGAGAAAAGAGTAACCAGGTGGATAGCGATTGACGTTGCATTTAAATTTTTGCGGATTAAAGTTGGCTGGAAAGCATGGAGCCAGAAGGGAGTCCTACAAGCGAGAAATGCAAGAGAAAAAAAAACACTCTTAGCATAGAATTTACGGCTATATCGAGTGAGCTCAAATGTAAATTAATGATATCCCGAATATATTTATAGAAAAGACACAGACAGGCAACCTTACTGCGTGGGGAAAGTAACTGAAGCCGAGCCGAAAAAATCAGGACCAATAACTGATTCTTCTTTGAATCTTTTTAGGAGCTCAAGGTAAATAGCAGGAGCACCGGACCATATGTGGCTGGAATATTCTAAGCATGGACGAATGATAGACTTATAGATATGTAAGATAAATTCCGAAGAGAACAACTGCCTCGCCCATCATAGTGAACAGCCTTTCTTAGCAGCTGAACTAGCAATGAATTCAATGCAGTCTTTCCACTTCATATCAGAAAACATCGTCAGCCCGAGAAAGCACAACGGCGGGAGGATAACATCAGCCATGTTGGTGGAAGGCAGCGAGCGTTCTCTCAGCTGATTGATAGAGAGACGTTTAGTTTTGGAAGCGCTAAAGTTAACAAGCCATCTTTTGGACCACTTAACTAAGGACTTGAAGCCGTTTTGGGCATCGGCTGTCATTTTGCCCTTGTCGGACTGATAAACCTTACTATCGAGGCACGAGTAGATTGTTGTGTCATCAGCGTATATACCAAGTTGAGCGCTGTTTAATGGATGTCAGTTATCAGTTATCTCATGTTAATTTCCCTTTGAAAGTTCTCCATTGCCTTAACCGGGTATTGAACTCACACTCTTTGGGTCGTGTCACTGGATCTAACCAACGCCTTTATCTAAAACGAAACTCTACTGTGCCATGTGTCCTTGAGGACATCTGTGTATGAATTTCTGGGTATTATAAACCTAATGTTTTCAGCAACCATTTTTACCAGTGCTCATATTGCAACTTCTGTTGTTATTATCGCTTTTCTCTGGCAGTCCTTATTACTGGTTCCCATATTGTATTCATTTCTATGCTTGGTCGGCTCAGGAAATTTTTGTGGCCTAGCATATGTGCTGATTCCTTAAGGTTACGAATTTTCCAATGGTGTTCCTTGTCTATGATCTC